AGGGTGGAGGGTCAGAGAAAAAGAGGAAGACCCCCAACGAGATGGATCAGCCAGGTGGCATCATTGATGGACTCAAGTGTGGCAGCGGTAGTGAGGTTGGCCCAGGATCGGACATTGTTTCGTTCTGCTGTGCATGGGGTCACTATGAGTCGGTTCCAACTCAATGGCACCTGACAACAACAACAACAACATCAGGAAGCACCGGTCCCTAAAAAAGACATTATGCTTGGTTAGGTAGAGGGTCACCAAAAAAGAGGAAGACCCTCAGTGAGATGAATTGAACAGTGGCTGCAACAATGCGCTCAAACACGGCCATGATTGTAAGCATAGTGCAGAACTTGGCAATGTTTCATTCTGTTGTACACAGCGTCACTATGAGTCAGAACCAACTTGATGACCCCTAAGTGGTGCTGTAGGATAAGCACTCGCCCATTAGGTCAGGCTGACAGTACTTAACAATGACAACAACAACAAGGCTAATAATAACAAATGAAAATCTACATTCAAATAAAAACAATACACTAATGTGTACAGCAGCTTTAACTCATAATCACCTAAGATTTGTTATTGTTAAGTCTTGTTAGTAGTGTTGTCACTGTTGTGCTGTTGAGTCGGTTCTGACTCATAGCGACCATTTATAGAGTTTATGAGGAGTGGCTGATAAGTCTGAACCACCAACTTTGCAGTTCAAATCGACCTGATGGTCAAGTGAAACACTGGTAAATCCATACTATGAAATACTACTCAGTAATACATATGGAAAGATGAGGCTTTCTACTCCCCGTAAAGATTTACAGCCTCGGAAACCCTGTACAGGGTCGCAACCGACTCAACGGCACTTAGCAACAACAACAACAACACATACGGAAATGAACTGTTAATTCAGGCAATAGCATAGATGAATCTTAAATGCATTTTGTTAAAGGAGGCAGAGCTAAAAGCATACATATTATGATTTCATTTATATGGTAGTCTAAAAGGCAAAACTATAGTGAGGGAAGGGAAACAAATCAGTGGTTGCCATGGTTTAGCGGTGGGGCTAGGAGTTGACTACAGTAACTACAAAAAGGCTGTACAAAGAAATTTTTAGGGTGATGGAACTGTTTTGAACATTTTATTCTGAGTCATTTCTTTTGTACCAATGAAGTCAAGTTAGAGATAAGATGAGCTTGTTCATGGGTGTCCTAACTTACTAGTTTGTTTTCAACCAGCATTCCAGTTCATGAATGTTCTAATGTTTAGAAAATCAAATTCCACTTTTCTATGACACCAAACTATCAGATCAACCGAAATCAAATGATTATCCATTTCTCTTTGTAACCATTTCTAATACCAGCTACACATGCAGCACTTCTCCCTCTGACCCTACGCACCCAGAGCTAGGTCATAGCTACCAGTTAAAGGACACAGTCCTCCAGAACTGAAAAGTCTGACCAAGACCTCAGATGGCAGCCTCAAGCTTGAGAATGCCCACAACACCCTCCACTTTTGATTTGCTGGGGGTTTCCCATGATTCCTTTTGCATGGCACTATAAGCTCAGGCGTTTCCTGCCTCCTCACTTCTGACCGGCTGGCTCCTACTTCCTTGGACTCAATATTTCACTAGGATTCACAGAACTATAGAAAATGCTATACTTATAACTAGTTTCATAATAGCAAAAATGATACAAATGAAAAGATGCATTGGGCAAGGTTTGGGAGAGTTCTCAAATGACTTGCCACCCTCCCACATACACTAATTCTATCACCAACTAGGAAGAAGCCCATGGAGCTCCCCTATATAGAGACTTTGTTTGCTGTGTGCGGCCATTGACTTGACACTGAGTCATGGTGACCCCATGTGTCCTGCTCCATGAGGTCTTTCAGAAGCACATCAGCAGGCATATCTTCTGAATGGGTTTGAACTGCCAAACTTCCGACTAGTAGTCGAGCATTTAACATTTGTGTCCCTCTGAGATTCCCCAGAGCCTTTACTGGGCCTCAGCATACAGGTCTGGTATATTCAATCATACCCAGTTCCGTAGGTCAGCTGATACCCTGCTATAGTCTTTCTGGTCTGACCAGCACCCACCTAAGTCACCTTATTAGCAAAACTCCCAGAAGTGGTCTGGAGGCCTCATTCCAGAATCTTCAATCACTGAACAAATTCCAAGGTTTTATAGGTTATCTCTCAGGAAGCACGTAAAAGACCAAATTCGTCAAGTAAAATTAAATTTTTCCCTCTACACCTATCCATTAAACATACCCACCGGCAAAGCCTATTCACAGAGCCCCAACCACTCAGCTCTCTGAAAAACAAAACACAACAGTGCCGTTCATGATTTCAGATAGATTCCAGACTAGAAACAGTCAAGACAGATCTGCATTTCAAGCCAGGAATCAGTAAGGACAGGTTGTGTCCACCACCAGAACATTCACCTGGTGTTAACAAGTCCTCCAGGGCATAAAGTCAGACACAGACATAACTACATGACCACAGGTTTATACAACTTTGACTTTCTAATGATATGAGTGAAATCAGCCATCTTAAGAGACTAAAAGCAAATGGCCTTCATTAAAAATTACTTTCAAAATCATTATTTTTAGTTTGTTGAGAGGGCATGTTGTTATTAGCTGCCACTGAGTCTGCCCTGATTCGTGGCGCCTCCATGGACAACTGAATTGGACTACTGTGATTCACAGGGTTCTCATGAGTCACTTTTTCAGAAGTAGATTGCTAGACCATTCTTCTTTGTCTTAGTGTAGAAGCTTCACTAAAACCTGTTTAGCATCGCAGCAATAAACTAACTTCCACTGGCAGATGGGTGGTGGCTACATTTGCGGTACACTGACCAGAAACCAAGCCCAGATCTCTGGAATGTTGTTGTCGTTAAATGCCATTAAGTCAGTTCCAACTCTTCTCAACCCTATATAGGATTTCCAAGGAGCGGCTTGTGGGTGTGAACTGCCAACCCTGTGGTTAACAGTCCAGTGCTTCTCCTACAGGACCACACCAATACTGAACCACCACTTTCCTCCATCTTGTTTCCCCCCTCAAAAAAAAAAAAAAAAAAAAGGTTTGTACTCCTGGTATGGTGCTATAGGATCAATACTGGGGAATTAACCACAAGGTGGGCAGTTCAAACCCACTAGCCTATCCTTGGACACTCTATACAGAGTTGCTCTAAGTCTGCAACCAATTCCATGGCACAAAACTACCATCACCACAATGAGTAACCACCACCCGCCAGTCTGTTTATCATACTGTGGTGGCTTACTTGTTACTATGATGCTGGTGTGGCTCTGTAGGATAAGCACTGGGCTAGAAACCACAAGGTCAGCTATGAGTCTGAACCAACTCAATGGCACTTAACAATAACAACATAATGCTGGGGGCTACGCCACTACACCAGCAGGCTCACACATGGTGGACAAGTTTCAGCAAAGCTTCAAGTCTAAAATAGACTTAAGAAGAAAGACTGGTTATTGATGAACTAAAAAAAACCCCTACGGATCACAGCAGAATAGTACGCTAGATAGAATATGACCCTCTAGTTTGGAAGGAAGGAGCTCTGGAAGCGTAGTGGTTCCGAGTCCAGCTGCTAACCTCATGGTCAGCCGTTTGAAACTACCAGCAGCTCTGAGGCCGAAAAATGAGAGACTTTCTGCTCCCGTAAAAATTTCACAGCCTCGGAAATATGACCCTATGTAGGGTCGCTATGAGTTGGAACTGACTTGACAGCACACCACAAGTTTGGAAGGCACTGGAACTACACAGCGACTTCCATAAAGTACTTAAGCATAGCAATGTTTTGCTCTGATGTACATGGGGCCATCCTAAGTGAGAGGCCAATTCCATGGAACTAACAACAACTAACCCACGGAAGAAAGACAAGTACACTGTCCCCTTTCCCCGAATAACTCGGTTAATAACACAGCAATGGGAGAGCTGATGTATCTGGATAATCTCCCTCTAGGAACCGACTCCACAGCACATAACAAGTAATCAACAGATAGACATTCTAGCAGAAAAGGGCACAAAATGACAAGAACTTGAAGGAAAAAAATGAGCTTAAGAAACTGCTAGTTCCACCCAGAAATCAGTAAAGACAAATTGTGTCTACTATCAGTACAGACCTCCGCACTTGGTGTAGTTAAGTCCTCCTGAACATAAAGCCAGATATATATACACGCAACAACCTGACAACAATGGAGCTCTAGTAGCGGAGGGGTTACAAATCGGGCTACTAACCTCAAGGTCTGCAGTTCGAAAACTACCAGCTGTTCTGCCGGAGAAAGATGAGGCTTTCTGCTCCCGTAAAGATTTGCAGCCTCAGAAACCCTGTGCAGGGTCACTATGAGTCTGAACCGACTCCACGGAACTTAACAACAGCCTGACCACAAGTTTATATATATAATTTTGACTTTCTAATTATTTGTATATTTCGATCAGTGAATAATGCATCCTGAGGTTCTGTGGCAATGAGCACTTGGGAAACCATTACTGAAATCCAAAACCACACCTACTGCAAACATTGTGACAAGTAGGCCAAGTGAGTGGTCATCTACGACATCTCTAAACATAGAAACAAGTTGCACCAGTCGCAGTGTGGCAATCCCGAGGACACAACACACGGACGGTAAAATAGAAACTATAGAATGTTAATGAGAAATCAAGTCAGCAGGCACAAGAGCAACTTGTATACTGGCGGCAGGCAGGTGGCCTATGGCACCGCGGGCGGCTGTGGACTGCCCGCAGAGTCTGCGATGTAAACAACCCTGCGCCGCGCGCACGCCATGTTAGGCCTGGCGCCCTGCAGACAGACTAGTGCAGAGACTCAGCGCCCGACACACGAACGCAGTTTTCAGGGTCCCGGGCAAGGGCCGGAGAGCAGCGGATGAAGCCGACCCGGCCACGGCCTGGCGCCCAGACGCCCAGCTCGCGGCGCCCCGCCCCGGCCCCGCCCCAACGCCGGAGGAGGAAGCCGGAGACTGGCAGGAGGGAGAAGTAAAGGAAGGGCTGTACCCTGCAGGGTCCGAGAGAGGCGCGCGCCGCAGGCTTCACCAGCGACCAGGCGGCGCCGGGAAGGCACCGAGCGGGGGCGGCTCCCAGACTCCCGCAGAGCAGCCGACCGCAGCGAGCGGACCCAGCGCGACCCGGAAGGAAGACGTGGAGGCCCGAGTGGGGGCGGGGCCAGGAGGGAGGCCGGGCTCGGCTAGGCGGGCGGGGCCGCGGGCTTCTGGACCGCCCTCTTCTAGCTCGAGGGGCGGAGCTTCCGACGGGCCTTCCTTGCTCTATAAATTGACCAGTTGGTGGTTGCAAATCTTGTAACCCTTCTTCGCACCAGCTTTTTGTGGACTGTTAAAGCTTCTTCAGTCCAGAGTTGGTAAGTCAGGTGATGGATAGATATTATGGATGGATCCTCAGGAAAAGTGGAATCATCGTTTTAGTCACTGTGCATAACTCCAATTTCTTGGAGGTTCCTCCTCTTGCCAGCATTTGGAACTTGGAGACCATTACCTCTAATGAAGAAGATGCCCATAGGGCCACCCTGACTCAGACACTTTGCATTACTTTAAACCCACTGCCTTTCAGTGGATTCGTACTTATTTAGCATAGGACCAAGTGAACACCCCCATAAGATTTCTGAGACTTAAGTCTTTACAGCAGCAGACAGCCTCTGTCTCCTGCAAAGCAGATGGGAGGTTTGAACCTCTGACTATGACACAAGGGCTTCTTAAGTACAGTATCATTCTTTAGTTTGAGCCATGTTTATCTTGTTAACAAGATTTCCATTAAGATGGGGAAACAATTAATGATGAGAGGTTAAATGACAAATTACTTGCTGTCTAACTGTTCCTACAGGCAAAATAGTAAAAAAAAAAAAAAAAATTATTTATAAATTGTATATATAAACTCGCAGAAGAATGAGGACGCTTTCTGCTCTCGCAAGATTTACAGCCTGAGAACCCTATAAATTGGTCGCTCACTATAAGTTGGAACTGCCTCAACAGCACTTAACAACAACAGTTAATATGTTACATGCGGTATGAAATGTATGAAAAGTGAAATTTTTTAAATGGAATTAATATTAATTTCTACCCCACCCTTTCATGTGGGTAGCGCATAATGACTTCAAAGCAAAGCTATAGTGGGCCAGAAGTGGTAAGTAGCTTTCCTGAAGAGAAACCTGGTAAACACTACCTGATGGCCCAGTGGATTTACCCATTGAGCTGCTAACTGCAAGGTTGAAGGTTCAAACCCACCAGTAACTCTGTTAGAGAAAGATGAGGCAGCGTGCTCCTGGGAATAGAAACCCTATGGAGCGGTTTTACTCTATCCCGAGAGGCTCACACTGAGTCAGAATTAACTCAGTGGAAATGGGTGGGGTTACTCTGATAGCATGTGATGAGAAGGGCATTTCTTTCCCCCAAATTGACAACCCCAATGTAACCATGAGATACCATCAGACAATCTCAGGAAACCTACAAATATCTGACCAGTTCCCTCCAGCTAATGTTTAAAAAAAACCAGTTGCCAGTCAAGTCAAGTCTAACTCATGGAGCCTCACATGTGTCAGAGCAGAGCTCCACAGGGTTTTCAGTGGCTGACTTTTCAGAAGTGGGTTGCCATTTTCAAAAGTAGTGTAGATACTCAAGTGCTTAACCATTTCCACCAACAGGGACTCCCTCAAAAATGTTAAGATAATGAAAAACAAAGAAAGACAGACCCTCACACAACAGAAAGGATTTAGGAGACAAGATCACTAAATAAAGTATGGTCTCGAATGGGATCCTGGAACAGAAAAAGAACATTAGTAGAAAACTAGTGAAATTGGAAAAAAGCATGGAGTTTGGCTAGAAGTAATTTTACCAACATTGGTTTCTTAGTTGTAACAAACATAAAATTGTAACACTGATTTTAACAGTAGAGGAAACTGGGGAGTGGTTGGAGATTCTCTGCTATCTTTGCAACTTTTCTGTAAATCTAAAAACCTATTCTAAAATGAAAAGTGGGTTTAAAATAGTCCATGAACCCATTCATATTTAAATAAAACTGACCTTTATATGGTGAGATTTAATTGAGTTGATGCCTACAGAATCCTGAGGTGAAGTCTAATTGAAGCAGTTTCTCATTCCCAACACAGTTTTAAAACAAATGTTTCATGGAAGTATAAACATTATTCAGAATGGGATAATTATTTCACAAAATATGAGTGCACAGTTTAATGAAAAGTGAACATACCCATCCAATAATCACTATCCAGACCAAAAAACATAATCATCACTAGCACCCAGAAGGTCCCTGCCCCGCTCACATACTCATCTCATTTTAAGGATTGTAAGAGGTTTTCTCCCAAAGACAAGGGGGAACATTTCTAACACTGTGCGTTAATTTTGCCAAATTTTGAACCTTACATAGATGGAATCATACATTATATACTCTTTAAAGTCTACCTTTTTCTCAACCTTAGGTTTGTGAGCGTCATCCATAATGTTGAGTAGAGTAGCAGCTTTTTTAGTTTTCTGTTGTATAAAAGTAGAAAAGGTGTGTGCCAGAGTTGTACTCTTTCACCAGGCTTATTCGATTTATACGTTGAGCTCAAAATCCAAGAAACTGGATTATATAAAGAAAAAATATGGCTTCAGGATTAGAGGAAGACTCATGAACCTCTGATATGCAGATGATACAACCTTGCTTGCTTAAAGCGAAGAGGATTTAAAATACTTGCTGATGAAGATCAAAGACCACAGTCTTCAGTATAGATTGCACCTCAATGTAAAGAAATAAAAATCCTCACCACTGGACCAATAAACAACATCCATATAAATGGAGAAAAGATTGAAGTTGTCAAGGACTTCATTCTTCTTGGATCAACCATCAACACCCATGGAAGCAGGAGTCAAAAACTCAAATGACATATTGCCTTAGGCAAATCTGCTGCACAAGACCTCTGTAAAGTGCTGAAGAACAAAGATGTCAGTTTGAGGGCTAAGGTGTGCCATGGTATTTTCAATAGCCTCATATGCATGTGAAGGTTTGATAGTGAATAAGGAAGACCCATAGAAGAATTGATGCATTTGAGCTGTGGTGTTGGAGGAGAATATTAAAAATACCATGGACTGCCAGAAGTACAAACCAGTCTGAAGAAGTACAGTCAGAATGCTCCTTGGAAGCCAGGATGGTGAGACTTTGTCTTTTATACTTGAGATGTATTATCAGGAGGGACCAGTCACTGGAGAAGGATACGATTGGTAAAGTGGTGTTATGTGCCATGGCATCAGTTCCAACTCATAGTGACCCTGCTTAGGGTTTCCGATGACCTGAATCTTTACAGGAGCAGAAAGCCTCATCGTTCCCCACAGAACACTGGTAGTTTCAAACTACTGACCTTGAGGTTAGCAGCCTGACTCGTAACCACTACGCTGCCAGAGCTCCTTTTGGAAAGTGGAGGGTTGGAGAAAAAGAGGAAGACCCCCCCCCCCCCAATGAGATGGATTGGCACAGTGGCAGCAGCAGTTGGCTCAAGCATAGCAATGATTGTGAGGTTAGCGCTGGACTGGATAGTGTTTTGTTCTGTTGTGCACTTAACAATAACATTGTATAAACAGATGTATTTATCTGGTCTACTCTTGATGGACATTTGAGTTGCTTTTACTTTTGATTATTATAAACAGCGCTGCAATAGACATTCTTATTCACATGTTTTGGTGCATCTTTTGCTTGCCTTTCCATACATTTTCATCTCTGCCATACATTTTCATCTCTGCCATATCTAAGATAGACAGTTGTTGTTGTTAAGTGCCATGGAGTCGGTTCCGACCCATAGCAACCCTGTACAGGGTTTCCGAGGCTGTAGATCTTTATGGGAGCACAATGCCTCATCTTTCTCCCGCGGAGAGGCTGGTAGTTTCGAACTGCTGGCCTTAAGGTTCGCAGACCGATTCGTAACCACTACGCTACCAGAGCTCCTTGTGCTATTACTTGTTTTGCTTTCTATTTAATAGCACTTAATGTGATGCTTGGAGTCCTGATGTGGCTCTGTGGGTTAATGCGCTGGACTGCAAAGTTGGTTTGAACTGCAAGGTCAGCGGTTCCAGCTCTCCAGCTGCTCCTTGGAAACCCTATACAGAATCGCTATGAGTCAGAACTGACTCAATGGCACTTAACAATAACAACAACAACAAAGTACTGCTTGGAAAGTTTGTATTTAAGACTAGGAAAAAACTAGGAGGAAGTTCTTTCTCTGCAAGACAGAGTCCTTGCTTATTCTACCTTGGCTCCAACCGCCTTGTCTCAAGGGCCACAATGTTACCAGGCTTTGTTTTAAGAACAAGAGAGCTAAATGAGGAAAAGGAAAGTAGTGATTTTTATCAGTTAGTGATAACCCTGATTTAGTGGGTGAACTAATGCCTAGTTATTAAATGGAATGTTGTTTGGAACTGAATAGCATCCCACGCAGTAACAGCACTATTACAAATAAAGAAAATCCCAACAAGGCTTAATTGTGCTTAAAGTCACCAGCTCAGCAAGCTGGTTATGATCCGTTCTATGTTAGCTTCAAAATTTACAATGCTCTACTCAAAGAAGAAGGCGGGCAAAAAAGCAGCAGGTTCAAATACTCTTCTTTGTCCTTAACTCTTGGGGGAAAAAAAAAGCCACCGTCATATTCTTCACTATTTTCACGTGAGTTTTAAAATCTTAAAATGAAATGTTTACCAATGCTAACATTTCAGAGCCATGAGTACACATGACAATAAGATACCATATCATAGAGGTAGTGATAGCATTCAGCACATAAGAGAGAAGCCAAAAATGCCACCTTCACAATGAGCCCCTTGTGAATTTGGCTTTCTGTCACTGGTGCCCAAGTAAAGTTCTTAACGCAAGACAAGACTGCTCAGGAAATATCTCCCCTTTCATTTGTTACATAACTTAGTCAAAATAAGTTCTCCTCCATGAAATCTTAATTAAAAACCAGTTACCCTCAACTCTATATTGCTCCATAGAATTCTTAATGACTGATTGGGGAGAAGTAGATATCCTGACCTTTCTTCTGAGGTACCTGCGGGTATCCTCAAACCTCAGCTGACGTTAACCTTTTGCACTACCCCAGGATTCGTAAGTTAATTAGTTTGTTGGGAAGTTGGTCTACATTTCGT